GATATATGGAATAAGTCATAATGATTGTTATAATGATTGTTTTCCAAATTCAGGCTTGGTTATTATCGGATTCAGTGCCGCGAAATGATTTTGTATCAGCGAATCGTGAGGGTATCTACTCACTACTAGGCTATTTGGCATTGTATTATTTGTCGTCAGTGTTGGGATCGTTTATTTCATCGACGGGGTCGGTTGATTTTTGAGTTATTGTTTTGAGTTTTTGTTTTTTGTTTTCGTTTGTTTCAGTTTGTTATTCAAAGGCTAGTGATGTTCGCCGAAAACTGGTTTCATTTGCAGAATTCGTTTAAAATCGTGGATCTATCGTGATTTACAACTGCTCTTATGGACGTTGGTGTTGTTCGCATTGCAGAAATTATGCGAATCCTTATTTGGACCACCATCGCGACGTATTGTAAATGCGCCATATATTATTGAAATGGTAATTTGAGTTGTTTTGATTCGATCCGAATTTTTTGCAGCAAAACATCAAATTCTCTTCATGAATTATTGTTCGATGAAAAATTTTAATGAACAGTTTCAATGAACAACAATTCATTTTCAATGAACAATGAACAATTTCAACAGTTCGCAAAATTTTATTAATTCTATGCAAATTCCTAATTGTAAGAGTTATTCCGTTGTTGAGCAAAGCCAGAAAAGTGTTTCGTATAGAATTGAAAGTTTTTTCCTATCATTCAGCTCGTCTTTCACACATTTATGACGGCTGGTTTCTTGTTCGTTCAGCTCGTCTCGTTCTTCGGATGGGCTGCTCAAATGCCGCAATTTAAAAGAGGTATTTCCGTCTTTCTATTCCATCTTTCAATCTGCTCCTTGAGTCCTCTTTTTTTAGACTTTCGTATGAATGCACCTCATATAGCAACTAGCAAATTCTAAGCAAAAAAATCGTCATTGTGAATGTATAATCTTGGGTTTCGTGAGCTTATTGGATTTTTTGTAAATGTGAATGGAACGTTGAATAGAATGATAGAAATGCTGGTAATATTACCTATAATAACAGTAATAATAATAATGATAGTGATTCGCGGAATGATAAATGATATAAAATATTGTTCATAGAATATTTTTTTACATTCATCATTCCGTTTAAATCACATTCATGTGATATCTCATCGCATTGTTTCATCGTAATATCCGTTTATTATTCAGATGAAAATGCATTCGAGCTGCTTCAACCGTGCTTATTGCGTGCAATTAATAAGAATGCAATGTGTTTTTTCATCATAGCGAATGTCTTAACTGGTGTAGTGAATATGCTCGGCATACCGTCAAAATACAGTGGACAATATCAATCAACTGCGTGTATTACATTGTATATTTTAATTGTTTGTGCATCCATTTTTGCTTTATCGAAGAGACGGAGGAGTTAAATGTATTCCCTTGGTGGGAACGGCGGGGG